TATGGTCCATGCATCAGCGGCACCAAATGGCGGCACGGCTGTGGGAGGCGCAATGGACACCCAGTCGTGTTACACAACGTATGCTGCCAACCACAGGTGAACGCGTGCAATGGTGCTGGCTGTCCCGCCAGCAGCCCCTGTTGCAGCAGCCAGGCTGAAGGCACACTAAGCAGCCAGGTGTGAATCCTCGCTCCCACGCCTGCTGGGCTCGACGGCGAGTCACCCGGCCGTTAAGCCCAGTCAGGCTGGGGGGGCTTTCACCTGGCAGACTGTGGGGCCGTCGCCGCAGGTTCTTGCTGCGGAGGGGAGCAGGCGGCCGGCCAAAGCCGCGCCTTTGGCGTCAGCTGGCGGCGGGTGGCAGCGGGGTGTGTGCCTTTTCGCCTCCCACACTAGCTGTGCAGAAGGCGGGGGTCGATGGTACAGGTTGATTGTGTACGCCTGCACCAGCTGCGCCGCCATGTACTTGGTCGAGAGAATCTGGCTGCAGGGGAGGGAGATTGTACTGCCGGGCGTCCCGCCTGCTGCGCCGAAGGCGCGCGGCCGGCTCGTGCAGCCTCGGGCGGCGCGGCAGGGGGCCGGCTGGGGGGTCCACGCCACCTGTCTGCCCAGCACGCCCCTCGTAAAGCCGCTGCCATGCTCCAGCGACTGCATGCTGTCTGCCGCTGCTGCCTTGCTGCCGCTTTCCCGCTGCTGCGTCCCCTACCGGCATGTCAATTCCATTGCTGCAGCCCTGCTGCCGCTGCACCAACCCATGCTGACGGCCCCTCGCTGCCCTCTCCCCTCCACTCTTCCCCTTGTGCAGGCTGCCGCCGTGCTGGAGGTGTGTCGATCCCGGGGCGTGCCCCTGCTGATCAACGACCGAGTGGATGTGGCACTGGCGGTGGGGGCAGACGGCGTGCATGTGGGGCAGGTGAGGGTGGTACGTGTGTGTGTGGTGGGCAGGGTAGGGGTGTGGGGCCAGGCACGGGAAGACCCAGTGGCTTCCTGCCTTCCCGGCGGGCCGGCCAGAGGCCGCTAAGGGGCACTGCGTTACGCTCAGCGGCGGCGCAGCCGCCGTTCCCTCTTAAGTGGTGGGGCGGCGCGCAGCAGCTGCCTGCGGGCGTGCGTGAGCTCCGTGCCCGACGCTCTGTTGGGTGGCCCTGTGACTGCTGGGGGTGGCTGCCGGCAGGGGCACTTGCGGGCAGGCAAGGTCCTATCAGGACGAGGGGCAGAGGTCAGCCAGCAAGGCGAGAGAGGGTGCTGGGCGGCTGGCGGCAGCTGTGAAATTAGCATGCTGTGGCGCCTGGCGGCGCGCAGCTGCCGCTAGCCGCCGCAGCATGCTCATGTGGCAGCTGCCACCCCTGCCCATGGCACCTTGCCGGCAGCCCTACCCGCGGGAAAAGGAGCACCCTGGCGGCACTTCTCAACAGACGGGCAGCCGCCGCTGCCTGCACCCGCTTGGTCTTGTAGAACCGGGCCCTCTTGCGGAAATTCAGCTTCAGGTCGCCCTCAGCCCGGGCCTTGCCTGCCTGCCATGGGGCTCGTGGGCGGCCTGAAGCTGCATTTCCACAAGAGGGCCCGGTTCTATACGACCAAGCAGCAGCAGGAGGTGGCGGGCTGTACGCTGCCCGCTTTGGGCAGGGGCTGCGCCTTACCGTTCGGGTCCCCTTTCCTCTTTACAAAACAAGGGAAAAACAGAGCAGGATTCAATTGGTACCCCACCAGCTTGCTGACACAGGCATCGCTCGCCCTCCACTGCCCCCCGCCCCTTCTTGTCCCCCATGCAGGGCGACCTTCCCGCGGCTGCCGTTCGGCGCATGATCGGCCCCGACCGCATTCTTGGGGTATCGGGCAAGACGCCAGAGGAGGTGGGCTGCCGCTGATGCAGAAGGGCGCTGCGCGCGTCGTGGTGGCAGCTGGGCTGGGCTGGCTGGGTGGCTGGCAGGGAAGTAGGCTGGCGGGCCATGCTGGGGGTGGCTGTTGAGATGCCCGGTCGGATGCGCTGGGCTGCGGGCTGTACATGTATGTGTGGGAGGTGTGAGCAGGGCTGTGTCGGTGTGGCTGGCAGCGATGCCGGCGCTGCGGCTGCTGCTTGCTTGCTTGCTTGCTTGTGCGCTGAGGCATCCGTCCAGGCGGGCCCCTGGCCACGTACATTCGCCTTCGCCTTCCCTGCAGGCGGTGAGGGCGGAGGTGGAGGGGGCAGACTATCTGGGGGCGGGGGCGGTGTTCCCCACAGGGACCAAGGACTCTGGTGGGTCTCGCCGGTGCAGCATGGCGGCAGGATGGCGGTGGGGGCTTGCTGTGCGCGGAGGCTGCCAAGAGGGCTCTGCCGCCACCGCAGGGGGATGGGGCCGGGTCGTCAGCGCAGCAGCTTGGGGGCTGGGAGGCGTCATGTGCGCAGCAGGCACGGCGTTGCAACGGTTGGGAGGCATGGCCGCTGCCCGCTCCGGCTCGGATCTGACCTGCCACCTGCCTGCCTCCTGCCTGCCTGCTCCGCAGAGGTAATTGGCGTGCAGCGGCTGGCGGAGGTCTGCCGGGCGGTCAGCATCCCAGGTGGGTGGCAGGCGCTTGAGGCGGCAGCCTGGGGGCCATAGTGGCGCCGGCTGTGCCTCGCATCCCCCCCGCCGCTTCTGCCCAGCTGCTGCCCTGCCTTGCCTTTTTGGACGCCTCGGTGCCTGCCCTCCTCCTCCTGCCTCCCACAGCACTCCTCGCCGACCCCGCCCCACCTCTCCCCTGCAGTCGTCTCCATTGGCGGCATCAAGGCCAGCAATGCCGCGGAGACGATCGCGGCCGGGTGCGCGGGCGCCGCGGTGGTGTCTGGCATCTTTGGAGCGGACAGCCCCGCCGACGCAAGCCGGGAGCTGCTGGCAGCGGTGGATGCAGCCCTGGCGCAGCGAGCGGCGCAGCTGGAGCCGTAGCTCGGCAGGGCTGGCAGGAGCAGCGGTTTTTGTTTGCTTGCTGTATCTTTTTTCGTATGCCCCTCCCAAGTTGTTTAATGGCTGCTGGCCACGCATTTTGTAACCGCACTCGTGTGATGTGTCCGGCGGCGGCGGCGGCGGGGCGGTGGCGGCTGGAAAGGCCTGTTCAACCGGATCGATCGTCGCGGGGTGTGCAGCTGCATTGCTTGCACGCCGCGCTTTGCCTTCCCTGGCCGCTGGGGCTTTGGTAGGACGGGGGGGAGGAGCGGCAGCCGAGGAGCGGCAGCCTCCCCACGCGGTTTTCGTCACCAGGGCTTGTTGAAGGCAGGGCGAGGTGAGGCCCCGCGTGCGCTGCAGACTCGTTCGAATGTCCCATGGCAGTTGCGGTAGCCTCCACAGCCTGAGCGGCTGTTCGGCAGCAGTCTCCCACCGCCGCTGGGGCAGCAAAACGCTCAGTTGACGGGTTGAAACGCTGGGGCTGTTGTGTTCGGCCTTAAACCGTTTCGCGGCCTCCGGACCGACAGCTTCATTCCGGGCCGCCGCCGCTGCCGCCGCGCCGCCGCCTCACGTCGCTCACACCTCTCTGCACCAGCACCTGCGTGCTGCAGGTCCAAGCATGTCGCACCAGCAGTCTCGGCCTTCCCACCCGCTGGCCTGGCAGCAGCAGCAGCTGCCGCTGCTGCCAGGCCTAGACCAGGGCTCGCCCGAGCTGCTGCAAGAGCTGAGCTCGCTCCGCTGCATGGCAGCCACGCTGCTGCGCCGCATGCTGTGCCTTGAGGTGCGCATGCACGCACAGCAGCAGGGCAGCTCCGCAGCTGCACCTCTCGCAGCAGCTGTCCCAGCTGCCCAGCAGCCCCAGCAGCAGGGGCCGGCCACGGCGGCGGCAGCGGCGCGTCCATGCCCGGAGCCCTGCCTGCCGCTCACAAGCCGCGTGGAGATGCCAGGCATGGCGCGGCTGCGCTCCCTGCCAGAAGACTGGAGCGACCTGGAGGGCCCAGAGGTGGGCTGGCTGGCTGGCATGGACGGCGCGGCGGCCAGCGGCCCACACATGTATACACCCCGGGCTGTGCGATTGCCCGTGGCCTTCTAATCGGCGCTTTCTTCGGTGCCACACGCCCGCCAACACCCACCCCCTCGCTGCTGCTGCTGCGCAGGGCGGCTCCAGCGCCTCATCTGTGGTGCATGCTGCTGGGGAGGCACGCATCGGGCTGGAGCAGCGGTCATGCCCGCCATTTGGCCTGCCGCCGCTATCGCTGCTGCGGGAGCAGCGGCCCACGCCCTGCCAGTACTAGCAGCCCGCCCCGCAGCTCGGCTGGGACCAGCTGCCTCGGCACCCGGCGCCTCCTCAGCAGCAGCTGCTGCAGGGCAAGCGGGCAGCCTGCAGCTGGCAGCAGGAGCAGGCCAGCCTGCAGCAGCTTGCCAAGCGGCCGCGCCAGCACGCGCCAGCGCCACTGCTCGCGCTCGAGGAATTGGTGCAGCAGGTGCTGGCGCCTGCTGCGCCGGTGGCCGCTGCCACCAGCCAGCCAGAGCTTGCAGCGCTGTTGCAGCTGGACCCTCAGCTGTGGCATCTGCAAGTGCAGCAGGTGCTGGGGCAGCAGCAGGCGGCTGGGCCGCAGCCGCAGCAGGCGCTCCTGGCGGCGGCAGGGCCCGCCACAGATGCCAGCAGCGACTGGTGGGTGATGCCCGATGTCAACAGCCTTCTTTGAGCCGTATCTTCTCTTCCTGGGGGGTCGAGCAGATGCCGCCAGGCGCTCCCATAGCCACTCCCAACGGTTTCCGGTAGCGAACTGCCTATATAGTCATGCCTGCCCCGCACTTTCAATTGCCATGTTTACGTACCACGTTGGCGGTGCCCTTCTGAATAGCTTTGAACCTGCTGTGCCTTCTCCAATCCCTTGCCGTATGCCCTTGCCGTATTCCTTCCCAATCAGTCACCAAGTCCTCTTTGTTATTTTATGCCTCCCATGAGATGGATTCTTGTAAGCATGTTAGCATGACGCATCATGCGCCGGGGGGTATCCCCGGCTGGCTGCGCCCGACGGCGGGGTGCACGCGCAGTGCTGCAGCTGTTACAGCGAGCGAGTGACAGTGCTGGTGAAGTTATCAACTGAAACGCGAGAGAGAAAGCAGTTGGCAGTATTGGTCGGGGGCACAAGGCGCTGGATGCAAGCGGTGCTTATTCATTGGAAGCGGGTATGGGGAAGGGGAGGTATGTCGGCGGGAGCGGCGAGCGTGGGAATGGAGGCTGAGCCGTGTGATTGATGACATACCAAGCAGGAGCAGGAGCGGCAAAGGAAGGGAAAGGGAAAGGATACGCCTCATATCAAGGGGGGGAGCGGCGCAACACAGTGCTCATGTGTATGCGCATACGCATGCATGCCGCGGCATGCATGCATGGTGGTGGTTTGGAAGCAAAAGTAATGCACCGTTTCAAGGGTGTGGCAGCGAGCGGAAGCAACGAGCAGGGGGACGAACGAGAAGAAGGGAGAAGCAGCATGCTGAAAGGCGGACAGGAGGGCGAGAAACGCAGGAAGGTTGGGGATCTACAGGCAACGCAGGGCAGTCAACCGACTGCGGATCATCAGTGGCGGCGGCACGCGGAGAGGCATGAATCCGCGTGAGAGGCACGCGGAGAGGCATGACGGGTGGCAGGGGCGGGCCGCTTGACGCGGACCCTGCAAGCCTTGGAGCCTCCTAGCTCGAGAAATGGCTGCGCAGCATGCGGCGGGTCTGTGTGCGCATGGGCTGGCACGCCGACTGGCCCTGCAGGCCTCGCGTGGTGTAGCCGCTGGCGCTGCAGCACAGGCAGGAGGCAGGGCGGCAGGTGAGCAACGCCCGCGCAGGCAGCCGGGAGCGTGCATGCCGGGAGCAGCACGCGCCCAGCCCAGGCCAGCCCGCTTCGAGAAACGCCCCCGGGGCCTGTGCGCAGCGGGCCGCTTGGCAGGCAGCAGACGCTCACCAGACTTTGCAGCCCCTCTGGCCCCTCACATCTTGGTAGGTGTTGGCGGCGCTGCAGAGGGCAAGAGGGCCAGACAGGCAGGCGGGCGTGAGGCAGGCACAGCAGGAACAGCATGCTGCGCCCATGCGCGGCTGCCAGCACGGCTGCAGTGCGCCTGCTGCCGCTCACCAGAGTGTGCACAGCCTGGCACCTTCCTTGTTGGAATAAGAGCCCTTGGGGCAGGGCTGCGGCTCCCTGCGCAGGGCAGGCGGCCAAGGAGGAAGTTGCAGTTTTGAGGGGAGGCGTTGTGCTGCGCATGCATCGCCTTTGCGGCAGAGCGACTGCTGGCACTGGCGCTGCCGCTGCCAGCAGCATCCTGCGTGCTCACTTGGTGGCGATGGAGGGGCACTGCCGGCCCAGCGGGCACCCCAGGCACACGCCCATGCCGCTGACATTAGAGAAGGATCCGGGCTTGCTGCAGGCGGGGGGCGGGGGGTGAGGAGGCACGGCAGGCAGATGATGCAGCGGCACACACGCGAAGGAACCCGCTCAGCTGCTGTCCCATAGCAACTCAACCTCACACCGCAACCGAGTCAGCTGCTGTCCCCAACCTGGGCTCTAGCATGTGCCTCGCTGTGCCACCCGGCCGTTAAACCAGCCAGCTGCAGGTCAGCCACGCCGACCCAGCCTCCACCCCAACCCCCGCCCCGTCTGCTCACCAGGGGCTGCACATGCCGCTGCCAGGGGAGGCGTAGTAGCCAGGCAGGCACTTGGTGCACGAGGCAGCCGCGCCGCTCGACCAGGAGCCCGCGCCGCACGTCTTGCACGCCTTGGAGCCCTTGACGTTAGCGTACTGGCCTGCTACACAGATGTCGCACGCTTCCGCCCCCGCAGAGTTGCTGAAGGTGCCAGTGGGGCTGCGGGCGGGAACAGCGAGGCGGGAAGGGGAGGGGAAGACAGAGAGTGGGTGAGTGCATGTGGGGCGCGCGAGGTGCCCAGCGGGGTGCGTTTGGCGGCGGCTCAGCGGCAGGGGCTGCCAAGGACTGCAGGAAAGTAGGGAGGACAGAACACCCACCAGGCGGTGTATGCTGTTGCGCCGGTGGTCCCCACATACGAGCCCTCAGGAGCGGGCACACAGTTCATTTCTGCGGTCGAGTGGGGCGGGGTGGGAACAAGCATGCCACTTGGAGCTCAGTTGGCAGCCACGCCAGCAGCGCCGCCGCACGAGCATGCACGCTCCAGCAGCCAGTCCCCACCAGGCCGCGCAAGCAGCTGCTGCCCGCCCCCGCTGCGCTGCCGACCTGGGCTGGTGGAGTAAGTGCCGAGGGGGCAGGGGTAGCACTGGGTGTTGCCGGTGTCGCTGGTGCTGCTGCCCGCGGGGCACAGCACGCAGGCGGCCTGGCCGGTGCGGTTCTGGTACTGGTTGGCCTGCAGGCGGCGGCAGGCGGCGGCAGCAGGGAGAGGCACGGGTCGCGTGGCGAACTCCGCTTGAAGCACAAAGGCGCGTGCACCTCCCCGCTGCTGCACCACCCCTGGGCGTGCGAAGAAGAACACGAAGAAGTAGAAGAGGAAAGTCTGCCGCCAGCAGGAGGGGGGAGGGGCGCACCGGGCAGCGGCTGCAGGATCCCGACAAGGCAGGCAGCGCCAGGTTGGTGCCGTTGGCCTCATCAGGCATGAACCAGCCCGCAGAGCTACAAACAGGCAGGCAGCAGGGGGGCCAGGAGCGGCGGCGGGGTCGGGCGCCGTCGGCAGCTGCACGCTCTGCTGCACCGGCGGCCGGTCGAGGCGTGGGGCAGGGGCTGCCGGTGTGGTGACAGTTAACGGAAGAGGAAAAGGGAAAGCAGCGCTGCCCAGCCGGCGCCGCTCACCAGGGCGAGCAGCCGCGGTGGCTGGTGCCGTGGACCTCCTTGCCCGCGGTGCACACCAGGCAGGTGGAGCTGCAGGCGGCGGCAGGGAGCAGCAGCCACAGCATGACAGCTCAGCACGCAAGGCGCGCGAGGCGGCAGCCCGCATCATCTGGCATGGCCCTGGCACGGCGCAGCCAGCAGGCAGGGCCGGGGCCGGCACACGGCGGCGGCGGTGGTGGTGCCTAGGCGGCAGCAGGCGGCCTCACCTGGTACTGCTGACTGGGCGGTACGTGTTGCCCTCACACGCGGTACACTTATCAAACCCGGGGCTGCCGACGCTCGAGGTCGGCGCCGTGCCGCCCACGCACTGCTGGCAGGCGGCCATGCCGCGGCGCGGGGCATAGGTGTTGGCCACGCAAGGGGAGCAGGCTTCCGGGTTGGGCGGGGTGCGCGTCGCTCCAGACCAGGAGGAGACCTCCCCTTTGTTGCACAGCTCAATCTTGGCGCGGTCATAAGCGGCGACAGTGCGGTTGGACTCCTTCCAGCCTGCGAAAGGAAGGGAAGAAGGCAGCAGGATGATGCCGCGGCACGGCGAGCGTGGCCCGGTGCCTGGGCCGCTGTTCGCACACCCGGCACCCAGGCCCGGCGCTGCCAGCAGATGCCAGCTGGAGGCCGCTACAGCAAGCAGGCCGGCAGCAGGCAGGGCAGGCTGGTGCCCACCGGCGGGGATCTGCTTGCACTCATTATTGATGGCCGACCCCCAGCCGGCCCGGTAGTAGCCGTCCTCGCAGGCTGCGCAGGTGCGGTGCGTGGCGCCGCCCACCACTTTCGAGAAGGTGCCCGGCGGGCTGCACAGGAAAAAGGGGAGGTGAGCAGGCAGGAGGCGTGTACCGCAGGTGAGGTGGCGGCAGTGGTGGCGCTGGGGATGGGCTGCTGTGCCACCCCGATGCAATGCAGCGGCTCGTCCGCGGTCTCCTCCTAGGTCACTCCTTGTCCACTCCCTCCTTGCCTCCTCCCCTCCCCAGCCCTGCCTCCTCACCAGGGGTCGCAGGCTGTGGATCCCGTCTGCCCCGACTGGCTGTCCTCAGTGATTGCCAGGGTGCCGTTAGGGCAGTACCAACACTTCTTCACGCCCACGGCGTCCTGCTCGGCTGCAGCAGCAGGGAAGGGCGGGGGGCGCGGCAGCAGGCAGCAGCGGCAGCAGGGGCGATGTCAGCTCTGGGCCCCGGCAGGAAAACGCCCTGGCCAGGAGGGACTGAGGTCGCGCAGGAAAGCAGCGGGAAGCTAGCTTAGCTGCCCATAGCTGCCCTGGTTGGTTGCGCCCTGCTGGCAGGCTGCCCCACGGTAGTTCAAAAAGAACCAAAACTCACCCAGCCCATAGATGGGAGAGAACTGGTCCAGGGGGCAGGGGGTGCAGCTGGAGGCGTTGACGGGCGAGTAGTGGCCCGGCGGGCTGCAGCAGCACAGCCACCACCAGGGGAGCAGGGCACATCGGCGGCACGACATGAGGAGGGCAGCAGCAGGGCCAACCCCATGTGTGAGGTCAGCATGCGGCCCCACAGCCGCCGTGCCGCGCGCTGGGCTGGCTGCACACATGCCGGCTGGAGGCAGACCCTGCTGCACCCGCAGCTGCAACCGCGACCGCTCTGCTGCCACACACGCCATCATCCTGCCCCGCGAGGCACTAGCAGGCACACCGCAGCACATCAAACGCCCTACAGCCTTGGCGCACCATGGGATGCAGAACTCTTCTGTGGCTGAGTCGCGCTTGGTGCCCGCGGGGCAGCCGTCGCACTCGTCAGTCAACGAGTTGAGCTCGTGGCCTGCAGGCGGGCAGCAGATGATGCAGTGGCGGCGGAGGTGTGTGTCTCTAGAGAGCAGGGCGGCAGGGCTCTCGGCTGGCAGCAGGCGGGGGACACGTGCGGCGGGTCTTTGGGGGGCAGCTGCTAGCAAAGCAAGGCTGCCCCTGCCCCCACACTGCTGCTCCCCACACCGTGTCAGCCCCACTGAAGACGTCCGCCCCACGTGGCCCACAACCTCAGCAGTCATGTCCGGCCAAGCGCTCACCGTCTGGGCACACGGTCACCACAGGCACGGTGCAGTCGTCAGCGCCGGTGTAAGAAGTGAACTCTGGGTCTGGGCAGGCCAGGCAGGCGCTGCCTGCCGCCTGGCCCAGGTACGGCTGGTAGGTGCCTGCGGGCGAGGCAAAGGCAGGGATGGTTTGCGGCAGGCCGACCTGCAAGCTGCCGGTACCATGGTGCCGGCCCCAGTGATGCTGGGCATGGGCTTGCGCCAGCCGCACTGCAGCGTGGCGCTCCCGGTGCCGCCGCTGCAGGCCCGTTAACACGAGTTGGCAGCGGTGCCATGCAAGAGCAGGCGGGCAGGTGCCAGAGCGCT